TATATCTATGTATTTAAGTTGGAATACAATGGAATTTAAATATGTGAATATGAATCATCCGAACAACTGAACCATAAGTAATCTTGTTTGTCTCACTGATTAATTAAGAATAATCAAACAATTTTACTTCATAATCGCTTGAGAAAAATATATATCTTCGAAATTTACCTACAGTACACCAGATTAGTAACTTCTTAAGGAATTCATACCATAGCAATTAGTAGTTTTCTTATTAAGAATTTCAGTAAAAGTTTGACTACGAACTCCACTCATTCTACCATTACTTACGACTTGCTAATTGTTGCTAGTTGTTCAAGTGTATCACCTAAATTGATTATTAGTCCAACTATCATACTAGCAGTTCTACTTACGATGACAGTATCTAGAATAGTCATGTTTGTTTGGTCATTAGATTTACAAAAAGTTATAAACTGAAAGGCTCTTGCCTCCCGACTATCTTGTCTGACCATTCTTTATTTGATAGTTGATGTATTATAGTCTGGGTGATATAATTTTTTGGTTACATAAAGGTTTGTAAGGTTTTATTTTTGACACTTTGATGACCACGATCAGCCGCCTAGGGTCGCCATGGGCCGAATCTAACTAATTTGACCGACTAACATTAATCATATACAGTAAGATGCCGCCTAGCGCTTAGGCACCGCCTAGGCCAATTTTAACAACATTGCTTTGGTCTAATGCATTGTGTTTTTAGCCAAGATTTTTAAACCGAACATGACATCAAATTATCCGCCTTACTAGTTTAATTGTTTAATTGGTCTAATCGGTTGAACCGATCTAAAAAACTGAATGAACCATATATAGGTATGGAAATCGTGTCGTGTTCGGATTTGCGGGTCAAATACATTAACCAGAACACGACCCATTTAACTATACAGGTCTCGGGTTGGCGGGTTTGGAACATAAACTCATATACGACCCGTCAACTCACTTATTTATGCGGGTTCACAGGTTGGCGGGTTCGTGGGTCAGATTTGGGATCGTTAGTCAGATTTGGATTCATGAGTTCAAGAGTACTACGATGAACTTTTAAGCAATCTTTTAAAAATCAGTTTCTTAGTTGAACGGGTCTAGTGACCGTTTTTTAGTTCAACTGACCACCTGTCGAACTAATAATTTTCCTATGTCTTGCACTGATGTGCGTCGGTCTTTGAGTTGTATACCAATGTTTTAAAAACCGGTTTTTTAGTTGAATCGGTATGATGACCGGTTCCCAGTTCAACCGCCAGGTGAACTGGTTTTTGTATTTTTCATGTTTTTTTTCCTACACACACACACACACATATATATATATATATATATATATATATATATATATATATATATATAATGAATTTGATATTTATAAGTTCAAACATTAAAAATACACATAAAAATAAGTTGTAGATGAATCCAAATACATTAAAATAACATATAATCATAAGTTTTAATATTTTACAACAATTCATATACGTCAAAAAGAAAATAAACTATAATACCGAAATGAAATATAATTTTTGATGAATATAAACGCATCAAAAGAATTTATAACATTTACCATATGTTTTTATTTAGGGAAAACTAAATAGATTTGAAAAAAAAAATCACCAAAGTTTATTATGTAAACAGTTATTTTTCATGTGTTTTTATTCGGTTTAACCGGTTCAATCCGGTTCAGAAATCAATGTAAAACCAGTGATAATTGAACCGTTCCCTCACCCGGTTCTCGGTCCAACCGGTTCGACCGACTGTTTCAAACCGGTTTTTAACATTGTTGTATACACTACGAAAATGATTAATTTGCTTTGAAATGGTTTTTTATCAGTTCTAACACAACGGTTTTTTATCAGTTCTAACACAACGGTTCAACCTAGATTTTGAAGAAACCATCTGATTCGATCCTGTTTAAATTTGACCGGAAATCGGTCATTATTAAACCGTTCTCGTCATCGATTCCCGGTGCGAATCGATTTTTAAAACATTGCTTTTAGGAATATCTCACTTATGTCGCATCGACTCTTGGATATAAAACTTGATCTTAACTATCCTTATATAAAGAAACATGGGTTAGTAACTTGATATCAACATACAATGCCGGACTTGCAAGACACATGTTAAACATCGTCCAAACAAAGTTCAATAAGTTTGGGGTGTCGTTTCAACTTGGGTCCCTTCTGAAATTTTATATAATTCATCGTTTTAGTTGGTTGAACGAGACCATTTGAATCGGTTATTATGTTAAACCGACTAGTATTTACCTGTTTGGAAAATAAATGGTTTCTTGATTTTTTTAAAAGACAATTTCATAACTGGACCCTTTGTTTTGCAAAATTACATGGAATGTCTTTCTATGGTTAAATTTAACTTTTCAGCTGTTAGATTTTAATAAAAATGATTATTTTACCCTTGTATCAAATTTGCAATGTACTACAAACCTCAATGACCATTTTTTTAATTTTATAAATTTGATATCTTATATATATATATATATATATATATATATATATATATAATATATATATATATATATATATTGTATATATATAAATTATAAATATAAGTTTTATATATATGTATATATAATTTCAACAATTTGATAACTTTTTTTTTTATTTTTTATCTTTTTGACATTTTTTTTTCTATTTTTATTTTATAATTTTAGCTATTTATTTTTTTAATGGTTTGATTTATTTTGATTCAAGTAAATAAACTTAAATTCGAAAAATCATGTCGACAACGTTGTTTCTTTAATTTTTCTTTTTGTGAATTGAAACGTTAATGTTTTTTTTTTTTTAATTTATACTGTTACGCATCATGTTTTTTACTTGGATACTTCATAGTTTATATAGTTAGCAACTTTATGTTTGCATTTATCATTATCATTATTTTACATTTTGTTTTTTATATTATTTTATATAATTTTAGTTATTTATTATTCTTCTATTGTTTTTATTTATTTTGATTCAAATAATGAAAAATAGAAAAACAAAAAACAAAAACTCAAACATCAAAATTGTAAAATACTCTAATATATTAATATATTTTCACTTTTCATCTTTTTTTTTTTTGGCTTTTTTCGTATTTTATTCGTATTATTTTATTTAATTTTTTTGTATTATTTTTTATTTCTTTTTCCTATTTTTATGATTTTCGTTGTTTTATATTATTTTTCATCAATTTGATAAACTTTTTTGATCTTTCCAAAAAGTGTAAAATATATGAATATACTAGAGTATATTACAATTTCAGTGTTTGAGTTTTTTTTGATTTTCTATTTTTTTTTTATTTTGGTTATCTCTGGTTTTTATAATTTTGGTTATTTTGAACCAAAATTATTAAAAAAAAATCAAACACCAAAACTGTAATATAATCTAATATATTCATACATTTTATACTTTTTGGAAAATGTCAAAAACAGTTATTAAATTGATGAAAAATAAAACGAAACAACCAAAAATTTAAGAATAGGAAAAATTAAAAATAATACTAAAAAGATAAAAAAAAATATTACGAAAAAATTAAAAATTAATACGAGAAAACCAAAAAAATGAAAAGTATAAAATGTATTAATATATTAGAGTATATTACAATTTTGGTGTTTGAGTTTTTGTTTTTGTTTTTCTATTTTTGATTACTTGAATCAAAATAAATAAAAACAATAGAAAAATAATAATAATTAAAGTTATAAAAAAATAGAAAACAAATGTCAAATAATGATAATGATAAATGCGAACATCAATTTGCTAATGATATTAACTATGAGCATCCAAGAAAAAAAACATGAACCATAACGATATAAAATTAAAAAATAAAAAATATATATATTAACACTTCAATTCACAAGTAAAAAAAAATTAAAGAAAAAATGGTTTCGACATGGTTTATCGAATTTAGGTTTATTTACTTGAATAAAAATAAATAGAAACAATAAAAAACCATAAGTAACTAAATCTATAAAAAAAATCTAAAAGATAAAAAAGAGTTTATCAAATTGTTGAAATTATATATATATATATATATATATATATATATATATATATTATATATATATATATATATATATATATATATATATATATTGATAATTTTTATATATACAAAATTCATATTTATAATTTATATATATACAAAACTACACAAATACTCCTTGAGTTTTGTAGTATATTGCAAATTTGGTACAAAGGTAAAATAATCTTTTTCATTAAAATCCAACGGTTGAAAAGTTAAATTTAACGATACGAGGATATTTTATGTCATTTTACTAAAATCCAACAGTTGAAAAGTTAGATTTAACGACACGAGGATCTTTCATGTCATTTTGCAAACCATATGAACCAGTGGCGTAACGTTTTCCTTAAAAATCCTCAAAGTGATATATTTTGCAAACTATAGAGACCAATTATGAAATTTTGTCTTAAAAAAATTGATAACGTGACTAGTTATGTGGTAGAACTGGGGTCCCATTTTCTAATCAGTGTTTGTTGCACATGTTGATGTGAACACCAACTTGAATCCATGGGGTTTCATCTGAAGTTTGCATAGAAAAGTCTTCGAGTTTCTTGATGATCGAAGGTCTAAATATCATAATCCATGGTGTATATACCCTCAACTTATGAAATATAGAAAGAACGGGAATTTTGGGCTAATTTTGTTCTTCCATTTCCAAATAAAAATAAAGCATTTTTTTGGTTTTTAAATGAGTATTTTCATTTAGAATAAGTTTTCCCAGAAAATGGTCCATCTGGGTTACTCTTGATCGAAGCCTCCAAAATTTGGACTTGGTGATGCTATGGAATGAACTTACCAAGTGGGATGATGATTTTAAAGCGGAAAAAAGCTATGTAAATCCAGATAAAAAAAAAAGATCTTATTTTTAAAACAAACAATATCATTGTTTTGGATTAAGACTACGACATCATATAACATATGCAATGTGAAAAATCTCATGGAAACATTAGGAATCTTACATCTTACATCTTACATACAAAAATACTTTAAAATTATATAAATTCTTTCATATTCACCGGAGCAACCTTAGCACCACCCTCTTGATTTAACGCCACCATTCCTTGATACTGTTGTGCAGTTGGTTGCAATGTCTGTTGTGGTTGTTGGGCTTGTTGCTGTTGTCCGACCACCGTGCCCTGGTTGGTGTAGTAAATCTGCCTCCCAGTCCCGTTCTCATACCCCACCGGAGTATAACCATGATCTGTCCCGGCGGTGGTTGATTGGACCATCCGGTAGCCTTCTGTATACGTGGCTACTTTCTGTGGTAGAAACTGCTGCTGTGCCTGTGTCGACACGGTGGTTTGTTGAGTCGCCACCTGTTGTACTGGTGGCATAACATTATACATCGGTTGATCTCGATACACGTCAGTTGGCATCCTCTGGACGTAATAACCTTGCCCATGATTGACCGGAGGCGGCGCGTGAAACATACCCGCCGGAGTTTGAATCATGTAAACGGGTTGTTGATCTTGTGAAATCGTTGATGCTGGAAATCCGCCGGAGATTTGGTATCCAGTCGCCGGAGATGGTGCAGTTCCCGGTTGTGTCGCCGGAGCGACCTTTTCTGTCATTTTCTGGACGTAGTAGTCTCCGTAACCGGCGCCGGCGAGATTGTCATCGCTTGGTTTCCGGTAAAGACCCGGTTGTTGCTCTTCTGCAATTCGCAATCTTTGTAGATCGTGGATATGTTTCTGGATCTGATCGGATTCCATCCGACGTTCATCTTGAACCACAAATTCTTGCTCCTGTTGATGAACCTGCTGAGTTCTTGACGCCGCTACAGGTGGCGGCGGTGGCATTTCGGAACTGAACATGAGTTCCATATTGATATTACCATGAGGCGGTGGCTGTGGCACCGACGGTGGCGTACTGGGCTGAAGATGACCAGAATTCAAAGCATCCATAAACCGTTCCCGTTCCGATCTCCCCTGATCAGTCGAACCGAAACTATGATTCGGAGTCAGCGCCGGACTTTGACCACTAACAGGAAACAGAAAAAGCCTCAATCTCGCCGGAGTAGACGAACCTCTGTTCAACCTATCATACTCATGCATCATATGTTCAAGATCATCGTCATTGGTAACAGTGATCAACGCGTCAAGATCTTCACCTGGCAACTGGTACTTTAAACACACCTCTCCATGTTCACACAACTGCGTTAACTTCGCCATTACAGCTCCAAATTTCACTAAACGATCAACAGCTAAGATCTTCGTCTCTCCACCGACGTAAGACAACTGGTTATCATGAGGCCTAGGAAGAATCTTACCTCCATAGCTGCACATCACCTTGACTTTATAGTTGTTCGTTGCACTCGCCGACGTCTGATGATCCTCCCACGGTTGAGGATTTTCAAAGTCCACATCACGCGACCCGCGGCGACGACTCGCCGGACTCCGCATAGGAGGTGTAGGAGTAGTTCTCCATCGGCGTACGTTAGTGAAAAGAGAGGATAGGGGTTTAGATATTTAGGAGTTTGAAGTCTGAATTTGTTTTTGTCAAATTGAGAGAGACTTTAAGGAGCAGAAAGTGGATTTTTAGTCGATTTTTTAAATTGACAGTGGTTGTATGGAAGTTTGTGTTACAGTTGTGATAAAATGGTGAAGTGGCGATGGGTGATATTGAAGACTTCAATTGGGAGTGGTGAGAGTAGCATGGCTTGGAAGGTTAGCTGGAAATGGTGGGGTCCAGTGAGGATAGGGACTTTTCCTGCAAACTGCCAACTATATTATTGCCAGATGGGGCTTTCTGAAATATAGTAAATGAAAAGTAATGGATAATGATAAATAATTAAGTAAAGTCAAATTTTTATTCATCATTGGTTTTAAGACGTTTGGCGTGTAATTTTGTGAGTTTGATGTAGGTTATCTTTTATTATCATGAGAAAATTATTATATTTGTATTCTTATATTTTATAATTAAAATTATGGTTTTTTCTGGTTTAAAAAAACATGCATGGTATAATATTATGTGGTACAATATTATTATTTAAAATGTTATGGACATATTCGGCAAAGGTAACTGATAACTAATAACGTTTTGTTGAACGTTACCTAAGATAACTTTTATATTTTAAGTGTTTTGTTTAAATTAAATTCTAAAGTTTATAGTGTCAAATGAGATATTTTATTCAAAACGGAAAAAGGTTAAAAACTAGTAGTCTCAAACACTTTGTGCCAAATTTGCACATATATGTTTGATTCTTATGGTTTCATTTACAATTTGGTTGGTTGTAGTTTTTTCATAACTATCTGAAATTACTATTTTATGCATGTTTGATTTTTTAAATATTTTTTATATCGTCTTTTCTATTTTATATTAAAACAAATACAAACTTATTTAATCAAATCCATATACCCTACCCTAATGTCTTCCATCATCTCTTTCTCGCCTCCAGCCATCCCTTGTTGGAGAAAAACCTACCACTCCTTCTGGTACTTACATACATGGTTAGGTTCGATGGCCACTAAAATAAATCAAAATGCTTCCATGTGTGTGTGTTGATGCGATACCGAGAGAACGTAGACAAAGAGAGTCACTCTTTTTTGGGAGAGGGGGATATAAAAAGAAATCGCATGATTGAGAATGAGAGACAACAAAGTAGAAAAAGAGAAAGAATGGCAGCAGCTTCACGCTGTTGCCGATATTCGTAGAGAGGGAGGACAACGTCGGTTGGTTGTTTGTTGTGTCAGTAGGACAATCACTCTCTTTCTACCCCTCTCTACATTATGTTAATGCTTTCGGTTCTAATTTTTTTTCACTTATCTTGTGTTACAATCAACTTTACACCAGATATAACAATGAGTGTTTAGGACTTAATCAACTTATTAGCGATGAAAATTGGAGTCCATTTTAGTTGCATGGAAGTGTTTTAAAAAATGCTTAAAAGAGATTTAAGGTCGATTAAGTGTTGGTGGTCATGGTGTTTAGTGTTATAAAAACATATTTGGATGTAGTCTCTTCTCCCTAAGGCTGCAACTAATTTCTATTTACTCTTCCCAAATTATGGCCGCTACAATGGCTTTGCGTGTTCTATGGCTCTGACAAAAACCAGAGGAAAGGATGGGTTAAAGGAAATGTATGTGCTTTGGGTTTGGTAGTGGCAACTAATAGTGGTAGTAGTGGTGGCTTGTGGTAGTAGTGGTGGAGTGGAGTGGGATAGTGTAGGGTCATTTCTAATTTAATAATATATAAATTAACTAAATAAAAAAATATAAAATAATTTTAAATGTATAAATTCCATTTTACAAGCGTAAAAGACTAACAAAACAGTAAATGAAACCACAAGGACCAAATATGTACCATTTTAGATAGTCGTACTAAATGAATGTATTTTAGCAATGAATGTATTTTAGCAATATACCATCCCAAAAACCATGATAATTTTTTTTTTCATTTTTATAAAATATTCCTACAAAACGATTGATATAAACAATTGTATTCAAGTCAAATCCATAAAATCATAGAATCAAAATCTCTCAAGATATAAATCACCAGGAGGATGTCTTCGATCACGTATTTGCCTTGCCTCTATCATCTGATGTATCTGAAACATTGAAACCAACAACTATAAGCCAAAGCTTAATGAATTTCCAAAATATACCCCACAATCAACACATATACAATGCATGCAGACAAGGCTGGACCGCTATTTGAGCCTTCAGCAACAAGTTGGACCGCACCCGAACCTTCAACATAAGCTGTACCGCTCCCTTGGGCCTACAGTGTCAACTGGACCGATTATGTATCTTGGCCTTCAGCACAAAACAGGGCTGCCTCAACCCAACCACATTATGTCGACATATGCAAACATTATTCAATAACCAACAAGTACAAGTACTCATACAAATCTATCAATCTAACAGATCATTACAACATAGAAACATATTATACACACGGATACATAACACAATCTAGTGGGCCGACATTGGTGCGTTTGACCCATGAATATAGTGAGAAAACTCACCTCTCGGTTTAGAAGATAACATTAATGATCCTGATCTGATAACCAGCTCTACAAGTCACCTATACAACAAACAAGGACCAAGTCTCAATCTACAACTCAACATACTCAGTTAGACCGACAGTCAAACTTGGTCAAAATCAATGGTTAATGTGTAACAACCCGATATTTCATGTCAATGTAATGAGTAAAAGTCAAATATGGTAATCCCTTTGTGAATTAATAAAAATAACATCAAAAATGAAATGTTTAAAAATCTCAGTTTGGTTGTACTAAGTGGTAGATATCGTAATAAGGTTTCCAAAAAAATAAAGAACACTAAAATCCGAGATATAACGAAAAAGTTATGATCAATTTAAGATCCGTAGCAAATCCGATAAAACACTGTTAAGCATAAAACGAGAAATTTCAACAAAATACTTTTCAGCCTTAAGTATCTAAATGAAAGTCGCAGATATCGTCAAACCATAAACGTACATTAAAAGAACGCCTAAATTTGACTTCATATGAGGAAGTTAAGATTTATCGAAGTTTCAGACATAACAATAGACAGCTAAAAACTCAAAATATAGATCGAGCGACTTTTGGCCAACATGACCTAAAGGAGAATCGAAGATCTCGACAATAGTAATACAACGGTAAAAAGACAGACGAAAACGGACGTCGAATGAAGAAGTTATGGATTTTTAACGGACTTTTCCAGTCCCGGCCTATTAAAAATATATTATTAAAAATAAAGTCAAAACTAGCCGACGGAGTCTAAATGAAAGTTGTAGAGTACAGTCTCACCTACGCGTGGATATAAAGAACGCCAAAAAACAGAGCTCGTACGCAATAGTTACGTAATTTAGAAGTTTGGAAATTCAAATTACACCCCGCGTACCAGACGATAAGGGACTCGTCCCATCGGCCAGACCGATTGCGTAAGTGATGACGACACACTACACCCATGTGTTTTGCTATACTTTGCATGCAGTTATTTTAATTATCGAATGGAATTGTTAACATGCAAAATATCTTACTTCACTTTACCCTCATGGTATAAAACATGATTATAAATATCATAGGCTTTATTTATACATTTTCATCATATCAAGGGTAAGCATTTTCACTATACTACCCTTATACATACAAGAACATACAAATCATCTTTTTGCCTTTGTCAAACATTGTGGAAAAGGGTAATTATTGCATACAAAATCACCATTTTCAAGAATACGTGACTTAATTGAGAATCCGTGAGTCATTTGTCTTCACTATACCTATTAAGGTACCGCTAGAAAGTCCTGCTTCATAACCAGAGTCTTCCATCCAGAGAACGTAATAAGTTTGTATAGATCTATACGGGACTGATGTTCCCGCACCCTGACTGTTAGCTACAGTCCTCAGGGTGACAAGTGTTATATCGTTTCGATGCCTGAAGAACGTCGCTCAGGAAAACCCATCATAGTATGATTATGAAAACTCACTGGATAGACAATTTTTATGGTATTATGATTTCAAGGGAAAAGGGACTATTACAGTTACTTTTCATTTACAAATACGATCTTCTTATAATTTTGTTTTATAATAAGAGTATACATCATTCTTTTTGAGTATGTCATAGTTGCTTACAGATTACGGTCTTGGTCATTTGAGACTGCATTTTCACTATTAAAAAATAAGGGATTCTCCTGGTTCAAATGCATACAATTTATATATCGATCTTTCATACTCATTTCCTACAGTTATAAGAAAATAAGGGATATTCTGAAAAATATACACGAACTTTCGAATGGGATACATTTTCTCAAAACACTACTTATGAACTCACCAACTTAAATGCTGACACTTTTTCTTTGAAATAACTTGTATTCTCAGGGAACCACTAAGAAGGTTTGCAACAACTTTTGGGGATTAACGCTCTGGCGTTAACATCATCTTTTGGATTTCATCATGATGTATTTGACTTTTAAACATGTAATCGATACAATCATGTAAACTTTTCAAATATATGTTATGGTGGTGTGTACTTTCTTTACTATTCAATTGTTATGATACTGAATATGACGTCCTCCGCCCCCGAATGTTTCGCCGTTCAGGTTTAGGGGTGTGACACAATGGTTAAAAAGCCAATAGTCGGTTGCCACGACATGGACAAGCATATGCCACATCATGGGATAATAAGACAAAATTGTCGTGAATTTGTCAAACGCCATGACATGGAGACTAATCCCCCACACTTAGGAAACCTTCCAGACCATCCATTTCACATCCCCAAACCGAAGCGGCAGAAACATTCGGGGGTGGAGGACGTCATGTATAGTATCACAATAATTGCATCATAGTAATCAAAGTAAACACAACCATTACATTGAATTTATATAAGGTATTTACATCGGTTTGATTTTCATATTTATACACATCAAAAGTATATCATAATATAAAAGACGTGATTGT